TGTGGACTGAAGGGTCCCTGGTTCGATTCCCGGTCAGGGCACCTGCCTGGGCTGCGGGCTTGATCCCCAGCGGGGGGGTGTGCAGGAGGCAGCCAATCAATAATTCTCTCTCACCACTGATGTTTCTCTCTCCCTCTCCCCTCTGCTCTGAAATCAATAAAAACATGTATTTTTAAAAAAGCACCACAGGAAATCTAGCTTGTCATTTACCTTCCCCGCCTCCTTGGAGTGCTGGGGCAGGGCTGTCATTTACTTGTAGTAAAGATGAAAAGAAATGTGTGTAATACGGTGATCACACTTAGCAGGATTTTAAGAAAATGTAAAACGGCATCATTTCCAGGACTTGATTTCATGCTGATCAAAGCCTTCGGAAGGTGAGTGGCTACCTGGCAACTGCGGGGGCAGAAGACAGCAACGCCTGCCGCCAGACAGGTGACGCTCCAACCACCTGGGGGGGGGGTTGTCCTCGTATTCTATCCGCTTCCACCGCCTGAAGGGGCTCTGCCCCATGTTCCCCTCCATTTTTAGGGCTGTTTTCTATGCTCCCTGTGACACCCGTTGTCGGGAGCATGAATATCGTCTTCCTTCTTGCTGCCTGGCTGTCTGTGTAGCTTCCTCCCTCATCCGTGGGCAGCAAACAGAGGCTTTGGCTTTGGCTTCCAGCTGCCCGCACACCTGGGAGCCCCTCTGCTGGGGCAGCGCCTCCCTGTGACCCTCCCGGGTGAGGAGCCCAAGGCCGGGCTCAGGGGCGTGGGGACAGCGCGGAGCCTAAGAGTCACTCCACTGCAGGGCGACCGGCTACCGCAGGGCGAGCGCCTGGCCCCAGAGGAGCCCTGGCCCCGCCTCTACCGCGGCCACAGAGACAGCCCACACCCAGGGCGGCCCTGCAAGGGGACACAGCCCGCCCGGGGCCGGGCTTCCCTGCTTCTGAGCAAATGGCTGGGAGCTCCTCGGGGAAGTCTCAGAGCTGCCGAGAGGACCAGGGGCGATGCCCACACAAGTTCCGAGAAGGCCGCTCTCAGCTTTAACCACCTCCACCTGCCCGGCCGCGGGGCTCCGGGCTGAGCGTCCACCTAGGAACCGGGAGGTCCGGTTCCATTCCGGCCAGGGCACAGGCGGGGGGCTGCGGGCTCCATCCCAGGGCGGGGCGTGCGGGAGGCGGCGGGTCCATGACTCTCTCTCTCTCATCATGGATGTTCCTCTCTCTCTCTCTTCCTCTCTGAGATCAATAAAAATATTAAAAAACAAAAAAGCCTTGGCATCGGTTTCAGAAGAAGGAAGAGGACCCCTGTCGTCCCCCACAACCGGGGGAGCTGGCCCACACGCGGGCAGGAGCACGGGCCGCCCCTGCGGGAAGGGCAGAGCTGCGGGAGGCCGCGGGGGGCAGGTCGGGAGCCCCGGGAGCCTGCTTCCCAGGAGTCGGGTGCGCGGGCCTCCGGGCTGGGCCCCGCTGGGCCCGGGAAGGGAAGGAGGCGGCGCAGGGGCCCGGGGCCCGCAGACCAGGCCGCTCCCCCCGCCCCGCGCGGCCCGGCCGCGGGGACCCCCACGTCCCTGAAGGCCCGGGTCCCTCGGTCCACCTGCCATGTTGACTTTGGGGGGAAACTTTCCCCGAGTGAACGCGGGGCGGTTTCTGATTGTCAGTGGCTTTCTTGGTCCTTTAAGGGGTAGAACCAGAGGGTGCGGAGCCCCAACTTCAGGAAACCGGCTCCCACACGGCCCTGCGCCGACGGGCTCCCGGGAAGGGTCGGCCAGGCCCCGCGGGGAGGCAGCGCCTGCCTCGGTGAGTCGTGACACGGCCCCGGCTGGGCGGGTGCGGGGCGGGACGGGGCGACGAGAGGTGAGCGAAGGGCAGCGCCCCGCCTGGCCCGCCCGGCAGCCCCGCCGCGGGGAGACCCCGGCCTTCCCAGGCCCGCGGGTGAGGGCGAGAGTCGGGGGCCCGGAGGGGCCGAGGGGGAGGCCGGGCCCGCCCCGCAGCCAGCCCGGCGCGGAGGGCGGGCGGGCCGCGGGGGCCTCCGGCAGGCCGCGCCGGCAAATCTGCTGCCTCATCCCGGCGCCCGCTCCCGCCCGGCGCCCGACTCACGATGCTCTCGGCCATGGCGGCCGCTCCCGCCTCCGGGCTCGACGCCCGGGCCGCCGCCGCCTGCCGCCCCGCGGGCCTCGCAGCCCCAGCCCCGGCCTCAGCCCCGGCCCCGGCCTCCCGCCGCCGCCGCCACCGCCGCTCCAGCTTCGCCGCCGCCGGGCAGCCACCGCCGCGACGTCCGGTGCCTCGCGGAACGCGCTCCCCGGACCGCGCAGCCCCGAAGCCGGGTTCCGGGTGCACCAACGGCCGCGCATGCGCACGGCGGCCCTGCGCAGCCCCGCCCCTCGCGGCGCCCCACCCCCTGGTCCCGCCCCTCGCGGCGCCCCACCCCTGGTCCCGCCCCTCGCGGCGCCCCGCCCCGCCCCCTGGCCCGGCCCCGGCCCTGGCCGCGGGGAAAGCGCTCGCTCGGAGAGGCGGGTTCTATACACCGGGAGCTGACGTCAAGTCCTGTTGCATGTGCGCCGCAACTGAACAAAAATTTATATATTTTTTCTTAATTTCAGGGAGGAAGGGAGAGGAAGAGGGAAACATGATGATGAGAGTCGCTGCTGGGCTTCGCCCCCACTGGGGAGGGAGCCCACCACCCAGGCGTGGGCCCTGACCCCCGGGGTGGAAGCCGGGAGCCTTCGTCTGCGGCCGGCGCTCCAGCCTCCGAGCCTCACCGGCCAGGGCTTGGCTGCGTTTTAGAGCAATGTCCCTCCTGCAGGCCTGTCCGGCCGCGTCCCCACTCCGGCCACAGAGGCCCCCGCTCAGCGCCCCGTCTTGAAATTTAGTAATTTTGCACACGGAGCTCCGCGTTTTCAGGTTGCGCAGGTCCCTGCAGGTTTTGTAGCTGACCTTACCCTTGATTGCAAAACAGTTACTGAACATCCAAGCGGCGAAAAGCTGTGCTTTTAACCCTGTGGTTCACTGTCAGATGGTATTCATGTCACTGCTGTGCTGGAGACAGTCGGGACCTGTTCCTCTCGGCCCTGCCCTCTCCACCTGGTTTTGTTGTGACTGTTACAGTGTCAGTGTTTGGGACACATGCTGTTCCACTGACTTATTTCATCACCAATCCTTTTATTTTTAAGGATTGGTTCCATCTCTCACATGTTTGTATTGATTTCAGAGAGAAAGGGAGAGGGAGAAGGAGAGAGAGAGAGAAGCATTGATGTGAGGGAAACATTGATCAGCTGCCTCCGTAAGCGCCCCAACCAGGGATCAAACCCACAACCTGGACATGTGTCCTGACCGGGAATTGAACCCATGAACCTTCAGTTTATGGGACAACAATCCAACCAACTGAGCCACGCCGCCCAGGGCTACACTGATTTTCCTTAGGGCGTATTAGGCACTAGGCCCAATGGTCACCATGACAAAGTCCTACCCCTTTGTGGTTTTTTGATTTTTTAAAGAGAGGAAGGGAGAGAGACAGAGAGTTAGAAACATCGATCAGCTGCCTCCTGCACATCTCCCACTGGGGATGTGCCCGCAACCCAGGTACATGCCCTTGACCGGAATCGAACCCGGGACCTTGCAGTCCGCAGGCCGACGCTCTATCCACTGAGCCACACCGTGTTTTGTTTTTTTGTTTGTTTGTTTGTTTTGTTTTGTTTTGTTTTTTAGTATGTACTAGGTGTACCGGTTAATAATGCGGATGTTTTTCGCTAGATGGAGTTACACACATGTTGATATGTATGCGATTGGATATGTATGCTGTTGTATTGCTCCCTCAGATGACCATTTGTTCTGATCGACGGCACATGACTTTCTGAGCAGCACTTCAAAACGTATGAAGAAGTGGAAATTTGGGTCTCTGAATGGCTTGCCTCAAAACAAGAAAAGTTCTATTGGGACGGTCTCCACAGATTACCTGAAAGATGGAGAAAATGTGTAGCTAGTGATGCACATTATTTTGAATAAAGCACTTTTGATGTTTCTCTTGAAATTATTGTATTTTCTTTGAATTACAAAATCTGCGCTATTAACCGGTTAATAGTCAATCCACATTATTGATTAATAGTTAATCTGCACTACTAACCGGTTAATTATTAACCTGCATTTTTAACCAGTTACTAGTTAATCTGTATTATTAACCAGTTACTAGTTAATCCACATTATTAATGGTTACTAGTTAATATGCATTATTAACCGGTTAATAGTCAACCCCCATTAACTGGTTAGTAGTTAATCTGCATTATTAACTGGTTAATAGTTAATCCGCACTATTAACCGGATAATAATTAATCCACAGTATAACTGGTTAATAGTTAATCCACATTATTGACCAGTTAATAATGCAGATTTTATAATCAAAGAAAACAATAATTTCAAAAGAAACATCAGAAGTGCTTTATTCAAAGTAATGTCCATCGCTAGCTACACATTTCCCCCATCTTTCAGGTAATTTGTGGATACCGTCCCAATAGAACTTTTCTTGTTTTGAGGCAGACCATTCAGAGACTCAATTTTCTACTTCATACGTTTTGAAGTGCTGCTCAGAAAGTGCATCTGCCGTCGATCAGAACAAGTGGTCATCTGAAGGAGCAATACAACAGCATACATATCCAATCGCATACATATCAACATGTGTGTAACTTCAGCTATCGAAAAAATCCGCATTATTAACCGGTATACCTAGTATTTCTTTATTTTCTTTATTGATTTCAGAGAGGAAGAGAGAGAGAGAGAGAAACATCAATGATGAGAGAGAATCATTGGATTCTCTCCTGCACGCCCTCCACTGGGGATCGAGCCCACAACCTAGGCATGTGCCCTTGGCCAGAATCGAACCTGGGACCCTTCAGTCCACAGGCTGACTCTCTGTCCCCTGAGCCACACCGTCCCGGGCAGTCCTACCCCTTGGAAGCTCAGATCCCATGTACCTCGTAGCCAGGAAGGACGTGGCCTGGCTCATTTTTACAGGGAATGAATGGGGATGAACTGGCATTTAGCCGTGGGCGAGTGGCCCGAGACGGTCACTGTGCCAGGTCACAGGGCTCCATGTCCCTGGGGGAGCAGCCGTGGACACTGCCAGGCTGAGGCCCACACTGGGGCCCCACAGTGATGGCCATGGGGCAACCCACCCCTTGGTGCCCACAGAGCAAGGCCGAGAACTGGCTCAGGAAGAAAGGCGTCTGGACAAGCAGGGGCGGTCCTGAGCCCTAAAATGTGATTCCTCACATGATCCCATCGTGACGCACATCCCGGGGGGGCTCCCGGCTCACCCGGCCCTGAGCTCCCGGCTCCCAGAGTGGTGGGCACAGGACAGCACCGGCCCCAGTGTCTGTGTCCCCGCCAGAGAGGCCGCGGAGACCAGCGCACCTGTCCTGGGGGGAGGGGCGAATGGAGGAGGGCGAGAAGAGCCCCCTGCTGTCCCAGGTGAGTCAGTGCCCTGGCGGCCTCCCCTGGTTGGAGATGTCCCCAGGCCCAGGGCCCGTAGGAGCTGCTAGGATTGGGGTGGGCTGTTCACCTCACCCTGCACCCTGTTTGGACTCTGGGGTGTGGCCCAGCCTTGCCCTTGCATTTGACCCAGCACGGGGTGCATCCATGCCCCCAGGAAAGCACAGGCCCAGGAGATGGTGCCCATGGGGGCCTTGGGCCTCCCTTACGTCCTCTCCACCCCCTCCAACACCCGACTCCTCAGCCCCCTCACCTCCCCGGCGCCCTTTCCCCATGCCCATGTCCCTGGCTGTCTAGGGTCTCCGAACTGCCCCCTCCACTGACCGCTCCCTCGCCCTGCAGGCTCTGACCCCTGGCCCTCCTCCCTCTGCAGGATGCTGGGGGCCAGGAGCCACCCCTCCCTGCCAGCTGCCTGGGCCCAGAGCTCCAGGAGGGACGGGCCTGGAGGGCAGGCCTGGGGCGAGGGCAGGCCTGGGGCGAGGCCGGGCCCCCTCCCTGCCCTCCCTCCCACTGAGAAGCAGCTGCCTGCAGTGCCTGATCTTTCTGTCCAACTTCCTCTTCTCTCTGCTCGGCCTGCTGGCCCTGGCCATCGGGCTCTGGGGCCTGGCCGTCAAGGGCTCTCTGGGGAGCAGCTGGGGGGGCCCCCTGCCTGCAGACCCCATGCTGGGGCTGGTGCTGGGGGGGCTGGCGGTCAGCGCCGTGAGCCTGGCGGGCTGCCTGGGTGCCCTCTGTGAGAACGCCTGCCTGCTGCGCTGCTTCTCCGGGGGCCTCTTGGCCTTCCTGGTGCTGGAAGCCCTGGCAGGGGCCCTGGTGGTGGCCCTCTGGGGCCCCCTGCAGGACGGCCTGGAGCGCGCCCTGCACGTGGCCATCACCCACTACCAGGATGACCCTGACCTGTGCTTCCTCATGGACCAAGTCCAGCTCGGGCTGCAGTGCTGTGGGGCGGCCTCCTACCAGGACTGGCAGCAGAACCTGTGAGTCCTCATGCCCAGAGGGGGCACACCCACCCACGTGGACTCACTCCCACACACGCCCACGTGGACACACTCCCGCACACGCCCACGTGGACACACTCCCACACATGCCCACGTGGACACACTCCCACAGACGCCCACGTGGACACACTCCCGCACACGCCCACGTGGACACACTCCTGCACACGCCCACGTGGACACACTCCTGCACACGCCCACGTGGACTCACTCCTACACATGCCCAAGTGCATAGTCAGGTGGCCATGCAGAAGCTCAGCCAGCACCTAGGAAGTCACTTTTGGGAGTTTTTTAATAAGGACGGCACATGAACCATCTCAGTGTCAAATGAAAATAGCTTTTAGGTTAATTCAGGATGCTCTCCTGCCACGGTGTGTGCGTGTCTGTGTCTGTGTGCACAATTGTGTGTGTGTGTGGACTCACGCCTGTGTGCCTCATGCGTGTGCATTCAGGCCTGTGTGTGGCCCTGGAAAGGTGTGGAGGTGGGAGGAGGTGTCCCGTGCAGCGTGTGGTCCCCGAACCCTGGGCCCCGCCCTGCACACTGACGCGCCCCCCTCCCCCCGCAGGTACTTTAATTGCAGCGCCCCGGGCGTCCAGGCCTGCAGCCTGCCGGCCTCCTGCTGCCTTGACCCCCGCGAGGACGGAGCCTCCGTCAACGAACAGTGCGGCTTCGGGGCGCTGGGCCTGGAGGAGGACGCGGCCCGGCGGCTGGTGCACGTGCAGGGCTGCGGCGCGCCGCTCCGCCGGTGGCTGCGCGGGACGGTGCGGGCGGCGGGCGGCCTGGCGATCGCGGCGGCGCTGGTGCAGGGCGCGGAGCTGCTGGTGGCCGCGCACCTGCTGCGGGCCCTGGCCGGCCGCAAGGGGGCGGCGGGGCGCTGCGGACCCCGCGCCGGGGCCCTGTCCGCGCCAGTGTCCGGCTGACCCGGGCTGTGGACGCGCCTCGGACACCCGCCGCGCCCCGCCCCGCCCCCCGCTCCCGAGGTGCCCACCGCCGCCTGCCGGTCCTGCTCGTCCCCGAAGCCCGGCCGCCGCCGGATTCCTTTCTTAGAGGCTTTTGCCCGTGGGACCACCCACTGGCAGTGCCCCCGCCCTGTAACCTGCTCTGGTCGGAGTACAGCCTGGCCACCACGGAAGGTGCCCACGAGGCCACCCAGCCCCAGGGGTAGGGTGCCCAGCCCCCAACACCGCCAGCTGTGACCCCTGAGCGCCCCCCCCCCCAGGCCTCTCCCTCTAGCTCAGTGGTTCTCAGCCTTCCTAATGCCTTTAATACAGTTCCTCATGTTGTGGTGACCCCCAATTTCATTGTTACAAATTGAACATAATTAAAGCACAGTGATTCATCACAAAAACAGTATGTAATTATAGATGTGTTTTCCGATGGTCTTAGGCGACCCCTGTGAAAGGGTCGTTCGACCCCCAAAGGGGTCGGGACCCACAGGTTGAGAACCGCTGCTCTAGAGCTTGTTTGGGGAGGGAGTACATTCTCAATAGGCGTCATTCACACAGTAAATTGCACTGATCTCAATGGGCAGTGAGTTCTTACCATCTAGACTCCTGCGGACCCGCCTTCAGGCCCAGCCCCAGCCCCAGCGGCTCCCTGGACTCCCCCCACCTCCCTACCCCCGCCATCCCTGTGTGGGCTCCTCCCCTTTCTTTGGGGTGGTCTTTTCTGGCTCTTACATCTGGCCACTGCACCTGGCCACGTGGACATGCACTTGCCGTTGGCACAGGTCCCCGTGGGGCGCCTGCTTCTCCTGGGGGTGGCGTCAGGAGCGGAATTGCCGGGTCCCAGGGGCCAGCCTGTCCAGCTCTAGGGGACACGGAGGCCGGGCGGGCTGGGCCACTGGTGGGTCGCCCACCGTCTCTGCACCTGCTTCCCGCCCTGGGAGGTGGGGATAGGAGTTCCCTCCTGCAAGCTGCTGCTGGGCCGCGTCCAGGCCACCTCCTGCTCTGGCCGCCGGGAGCGCGTTCGGCCACCCGCCCTGCCCTGGCCACACGTGCCCAGCCACCACAGGCCTAGGCTCAGCGCCCAGTGGGTTTTCTTCCTTCTCAGCCTGGGCAGGCCGCTGCTGCCCCACCGCCCTTGCCTTCCTCCATACCCTCCTGCAGAGGCGACCCACACCCTCCCAACGCCCCAGACGAGCGAGCGACGGAGGCATGATCGTTTTATTTTGAAACAGGGACAGTGCGCATGGCCGCCCGCCACGCTGACCCAGAACCAGCCACGAGTGGCTATGGGCGGAGCTCCTCCTGCCCTGGTTTTCCAGCTGCAGGAGGGGATGTGGGCCAGCCTCCCGGGAGGTCAGGCAGGGCCTGGCCGGCCTGCTAGGGCATCCTGAGGGGAGGCGGGGGCTCCTGATGTTGCTGCCCTTTGAGGTCTCCAGACACGACCTCGCAATCCTGACGCCCTGGCTGGGGTGGGGGGGCCGCAGGGGGTCGGACGGCAGGTGCGGCTAGATGATGCCATACTGGGCCAGCTCGTGCAGCTCCAGGTGGTTGAAGGCCTCCCACGGGCAGATGACCGTGATGTCTGCGGAGAAGGGGGCCGCTGTCCACACCTCCAGTGGGGAAGACCCGCCTCCCAGGACACACCAGCTTTGGGGGTGTCGAGTGGACACCCCGCCCAGGGAGATGGTGGGTGCAGCAGGCCCCAGGGAGGGGCAGCAAGGGCTCCTCCTCCTCTCCCAGCCCCTCCAAGCACCCGGTGAAGCCACTTGTGGGAACGACCCCACTTCAGGGGGACCTCACCTTTGATGCTGGGGAGAAAATGAAGGACAGGCTGGGGGCGTCCCTAAGTGAGCCTTGGCCGGGGGAAGCCAGAGGCGGCTGGGACCCTGCCTGCTGTGGCAGGTGAGTGGGGAGAACTGGGCGGGACCCGGCATTGTCATACCTGTCCCCAGGCCTTCCATTCCAGGGATGTCGTCCCCAAACCTGCAAGCACAGCGGTCAGGACGGTGGCCATGAAGAGAGTGGAATGGGGTGGGGGTGTCTGCCCTTGAATGCAGGTGTCTGAGTGTGGAGTGTACGGTGTGCAGGTGCCTGAGTGTAGAGTGTAGGGCAGGGGTCCTCAAACTTTTTAAACAGGGCGCCAGTTCACTGTCCCTCAGACCATTGGAGGGCCGGACTATAGTTTTAAAAAAAACTATGGCCAAAACCGGTTTGGCTCAGTGGATAGAGCGTCAGCCTGCGGACTGAAAGGTCCCAGGTTCGATTCCGGTCAAGGGCATGTACCTGGGTTGCGGGCACATCCCCAGTAGGAGATGTGCAGGAGGCGGCTGATCGATGTTTCTCTCTCATCGATGTTTCTAACTCTCTATCTCTCTCCCTTCCTCTCTGTAAAAAATCAATAAAATATATTTAAAAAAATAAAATAAATAAAAAAAATAAAATAAACTATGAACAAATTCCTATGCACACTGCACATATCTTATTTTGAAGTAAGAAAACAAAACGGGAACAAATACAATATTTTATTTGCATGTAGCCCGCGGGCCATAGTTTGAGGACCCCCTGGTGTAGGGTGTGCCTTGGGTGTGCACCTGTGGGCTGTGCGTGTGTGCAGGGACCATGCTGGTGGCTGTGATGGAGTCAAGATGACAGTGAGCTCGCTTTCCGAGCCTGTTTGGCAATGACTGGAGACAGTGACAGGAGCCCCCCATCCCCCGCTCCTCTCCCCTCCTGGCGGGCCTGGGGGGGGGGGGCCCTGAGACAGGCCCTGCTCGGGCTCCCCAGACCCCGTTAGAGGACAATGGGACCACCTCCACCAGCAAAGGATGGCTGAGCCCCCCCCCCCCCCGGCCTCCCTGCTGGGCCCCTCCAGCCCCTTGAGAGGCGCCCCTTCCCCAGCTCTGCTTACCCTTGGACACCTTTCTTGGGGGGCTTGCTCTTGAACTGCCTGGTTTGCCGCTGCTTAAATTTGGGGGGCCCTTTCCTGGGAGTGACGGGGCCCCCCGTCACCCTGGTGGCCGAGCGGATCTCGGCCTTGGGCGGCTCCAGGTTCATGGTCAGGCTGGCAGAGACCCTGTGGCGACCTTGGGCTTCTGGACTCCCTCACGCTGGGCGCTGGGGGCAGACCAGGTGGGGATCCCAGTCAGCCTCCTGCTTCCAACCCATCAGAGGGAACCCCAAAGTGTGAGACCTAGGGGCTCTCAGCATGGCCGACGGCAGCCCCTGCCACCCGCACGCAGGGCTGCACTGGGGCCACACGGGAATGCAGTGCCGGAGGCCCCGAGTGCACTCCTCCACCCTGAGGCTGGGACATGCTTAGTCACCCGGCAGCGCCAATGAGGGGGGACCCGGGAGAAGGCGGGATGCTGGCAGGGAAGGGGCCGGTCTCACAGGAGACGCTGCGCTGAGCTGTGGTAGTGTCTTCCCAGCCGCTCAGTGCTTGGAGCTCCTTTGGGCGCCAGTGTCACCTGTTGGTGTCCGTGCAACACCGACCAGATGACCTCCTCTCCTCTCCCCGGAGCCACTCCCGATGCCCTCAGCCCAGTGACCTTGGCCCAGAACAAGGGCAGCTCAGCTTCCTCTAAGCCTATTAGCAGCAGAGGGAGGCTAATCCCTCGGCCACTGGGGCCCAGACGGTTCAGGGCCTAAGCAGGTGACAGACAGGAGTGCTATGCCCACAGCGCAGGCCCAGGCGCCGTCCCTTGGTCCCTTTTTTGCCCCCAGTCTGATGGGCTGCAAGGCTGGGGTCCAGCCTTGGGCTGCCAACAGCCGCCTGCTGGCTGAGACCAAGTGAGAGGCAAGGACAGGTCGTCCCGCTGGGAAGGAAGGCTCAGTGGTGGGTGCTGGGTGCCTGGGATTGGGGTGGCCCTGCCATGGACCTTCCCTCCCTAAGATTCAGCCTCTGTGCTGAGACCAGAACCAGCCCAGGAGGGTCCCAGGAGGACAGCAGCAGGCCTGGCCGGGTCCTTTCCTCAGTCCTGGGCCCCGGGCCTGGCGTGGACAGCTCTGTGCCCTGAGGGAGCTCCAGGAGCAGATGCTGTTCCCATGGAAACTGCTGCCTGAGCTGCCCCTCAAGTTGGCTGGGCACGTGAGACCCAGAGCGTCACTGGCCTAGGGACGGCCTGCACCTCGCTTGACTTGGGGGAGCAGAGGAGGTGACTGGCTGCGCATCCTCTGACCCAGGCTCAGCGTGGTGGTGAAACGCCCGCCCGCTCCCCACCCTCTGCGCAGCCGCCCACGAACACCCTTGGGTGAGGGGCTGCCAGGAAAGGCAACGGGAGGTCACGACTCACCAGGCACCAGGCAGATCTCAGGGGGCCATCGGTGTGAGGGCGGCCTCCCTCACCAGGGTCAGTGGGCATTTATCCTGCTGCCGGGTAAGCCGATTAGCACTGTCCCTGATGCCACACTAAGGAGCTTGCCGGGGCCGCTGGGGCGGGCACCAGGGGACGGGAAGGGGCTCAGGTGCGGTCAGGGGCCTGAAGGGAGGGCGAGCTAGGGAGCTAGGGACGGGCCAGGACAGGGGGGAAGTGTGATCAGGACAGTGAGCAGGGCAGGACTCTCTCCTGAAGCAGCTCTTCTTTGAGACAAAGACGAAGCACAGCACTGCTGCTGTCCTGGCCTCCCCACCTCAGCCCAGTCCGACTTCCAGAAAAACGCCTTCATGCCCCGGCGTGCTGCCGCCTGCAGGTGGCCCACACAGCAGAGTCAGACCTGGGGACGCTACGGGCTCTGCGCTGGGAGGTGGACCCGCGTTCCCTGCTGGTGCCCACACAGCACCTTACAAGACCCCATCGGATCCCAGGAGGAATTAGCATTCCCCTTCTTTGGTTTCACATCAAAGAGGCCTGTTTGTCAGCTCAAATCCCTTGTGAAGTCGTGTTACCATCTGAGCTTTTCCCTTCAAGGAGGCAATAAACCGGCATAAATTCTTTTAATCCTTGCCCTGCCCAGGCCACTAGCATCGGAGCTTGCGATTGCTGAGGTGGGGGATGAGGTGGGAAATTTCCATGGACGCGGATGAGGAAAGATAGGGATGGGCAGCGAGGGCCCTAAGATAAAGTCCCACTTGGGCCGATGGTCCCAGGGCCAGGTCTGCAGCCAAGGACCAGGCCGGTGTCAGGATGCTGGTTCTCGGGTTAATGCCTGAGGCCTCCTAGTCCTTCCCTGGCCACCTGCCCGGGAGGCTGGGCCTAAGTGAGCTGGAAGGACCGGTGGTTCCATGCTCAGGCCCCTGCAGGCTGACTGGCAGCCGGCTACTTGGCTGGCAGACGGGTGTCTCCTCAAGGACAAACGGGGAACGTTCTGGGCTGCCAAGGGCACCTTCCTGGGAGCAGACAGTCCTCCCTCTGACCACAGCTGACCTTCCGGCAGGACTCCTGGGAGGCGGGACACGGAAAGGGGCTCTGGGGTCAGTGTCATCTGAATATTCAAGGAGGAGTCTTATTTCACCCACAGGCTGGTGCGGCTGCAGGTGCTCGGGGACCATCTGAGGGCACCTGCTCTCTGCCGAGGCCACAACAGCCTCTCAGACCACAAAGCCTCTCGTCTCAGTGGCAGGGAGCTTATTTATTTCCAGGCGAAGTCGATTCCCACCCGACGCAAGCCCCACGAAGCCGCCCCGGACAGAGGGGCCGCGTGCTGCTGGGCAGGGGCTCGGGCTCCCGTGGGTGAGCTGTCGGCGGGCCGCTCAGCCTCTGCTTCTCATGCGGAGCTGGATCTCCGTCCTGAGGAAGGCCTTGAGGTTCTCGTCGGCCACGTGCTCCTGCAGGGCGGCCAGGGCCCGCTCCCCGCCGTCCTGGTAGTGCTGCAGCAGCGCATCTGCGTAGTCCACCCACACGCAGTTGGGGCAGCCGCTCATGCAGCAGTTTGTGGGGGGCTGCAGCTCAGGTGGCGGGGGGTACGGGGCCTCCGAGGTGCTCCCGCCGGGCAGGGAGGACTTAGGATGCCTGGTGCCCTCGGCACCTGCTTGGGAGCCCTCCTCCCCATGGTCCTTCCCGAACTCTCTACGGCCTTCGCAGACCAGGATCCAGGCACGGTACCTGTGCAGAGTGCTGCCGCCTCCAGGAAGCCCGCGGCACCGCTCCCAGCTGGCGAGTCGGCCTGGCCCCTAAGAACGCAAATAAGCCTATGAGTGTCCAGAGAGCTGGTCAGGCCTGGCCCGCCCCCAGCTCCAGAGGAATCTCGGCCTCTGGGCCGTGGCCGAAGGATCCGCAGTCTTCTCCGCTTCCTCCCTTCCCATGTGACCTTAGACAAGTCTAGACTCGGTTTCCACCTGTAACCGGATGTGATGGTTGGCATGACGACATGATGCGACTGAAGAGAAGTGCTGGTTTCAGGGCCTGTCACCGGAATGCGTTCCAGCAGATGGAGGGTGGGGGGAAGCTCGGCACCTCCAGCCAAGCCACCTCTCCCTCCACCCAGCACAGAGGGCCCGTGCCCTCTGACCTTCTCACTCACCGCATCACCCCTTCGTCCTGTTTCTCCTCACAGGAGAAGCCCTGGCGGCCCGGGTCACCGCATAGCCCGTGGGCAGCCTCCCTGCCTCCTCCAGCCCCGGGGCCCCCTCCCCGCTCCACGTGTCTCCAGGGCACGGAGAACCGACAGACTCAGCTCGAACTATGTCTCCAGCTCCTGCGAGGACCATGAGCTCCCTGTTCACGGCGGCCTCCCCAAAGGCGCGCATGCAGCAGGCGCTCCTAGATATGGCCGAGCGGGTGGACGAGCCAGAACCCGCTGGCCCAATCCCGGGGCTCGGCCCAGAAGCAAAGCAGCCCTCCTCGCCGATAGGGAGCGGGCCTAGCAGGAGCAGCACGACGGGCCGCGTCCAAGGCTGACCTGCCCGCGGGCGGCGCGGGCTGCAGCGCGGTCCCTGGGAAACGGGGAGGCCGGGATTTCTCCGGTCCGTGCCGCCCCGGCCCCGCGCCCAACCCCACAACGCCCTCCCCGCCAGGTACTCACCGAGCACAGGGAAGCTGAGGCCGCCGCCCGGCCGCCAGCCGCTACACACCGCAGCAGCATCGCCCGCGGCCCGACCCATTGCGCACGCGCGCTCCAGTCTCCGCCCCTTCCGGGCCGTGAGCGGCAACCACCTTAGCCAATCGCCAGTCCGCTAGGTGCTGCACCGCCCCAATGAGCATGGGGCTGGTGCAGGAAGTGGAAGTGGCTGTCGTGAGGCAGAACCGCCCGCGAGAGAGGAAGTGGCTTCTCCCCGACCCCGGCGCGTGCAGATGGGGGGAGCCAGGCTCCGAGCAGCGGGCCCCCCGAGGACAGGGAGGCCTGGGGGCCCGGAACGGCCGCAGGGGCGGCGGCAGCAGCAGCTGCTGGGGAAGCAGTCGGCGCCGTGGCCCAGGCCGCGGAGGTGGGTCTCTCCCCCTGCCGGGCCCCTCGCGTTCTGCCTTGTCCGTGCCGCGAGTGGAGGCGCGAAGGAGGGGACACTGCCACCGGCCAGGGTGCCGTCTTGCCATCCTGGGCGAGGCCAGTGCGCGGCGGCCCCTGGGGCGCTCGGAGCGTTCTGCGGGGGAGGATGCTGCCTCGGCCCGCGTGCCCACAGCAGCGGGGCGGCCTGCGAAGCTTCGTTTTCTCTGACTCTGTTTCTGCTGGACGTAGGACACGTCTCACCCCCGTGTTCTCCTTCTTAGCCAAGAGAAGAAGAGAGTGAATTGCAAGCCCAAGAACCAGGATGAGCAGGAAATCCCTTTCCGTCTCCGGGAGATTATGAGGAGCCGCCAGGAAATGAAAAACCCCGTCAGTAACAAGAGGAGGAAGAAAGAGGGTAATGGGCGGGCCCGTGTGGGTGGCAATAGAGCGTCACTGCCCAAATAGCCACGGCCTGCCGGGGCCCGAGGGGGCGGGGCGAGGGCTGACCCGAGGCCGGCGTCTCCAGGGCCACCGCCGCCTCTGGTTTCAGAAGAGGCTGCAGGGGAGCCCTGGGCCTGGGGTGAGCAGCATTCACTTCCCCCAAGAGCAGGGGACCCGTCGGACGGAGGTCGGTGCAGATGTACTTTGAGGGAGGGAGGGTGGACAGGGCCAGCCAGTGAGTCTCTTGTGAGGGAGAATGGGGGGAGCAGCGGGGGTGCGGGGGGTAAGGAGGGCAGTGATGAGGCTCCCTCGGACAAACTGGCCCATCACACCCCCCCCAGGCCAGGCAGTGCCCTCCATCAGCTTCTGCCAGAGGTGAGCCTTCGCACGTGTGGGGGAATGGAGTTTCTGTTTTGTGTAGACGTGTTTGTTCTCCCAAATGTAGGAGTGATTTTGCAGCACTGCTGCTGGGTAATTTAACCTAAATCCCAGGCTTTTTGAAGGATAAATTCACATATGTGGTAAAATCAGGCCGTTCTGAGGGGTATGAGGCACAGCCTCCTCTCACTGCTCCTGCTTCGTACCTTCTAGAAGCCTGCACGTGCCTCCTCGTCCGTGTGACACGAGGGCGTGCTGCCCTCGACACATTCCGCGTGCAGTGGGCTTTATGGCCTGTCCACACCCCTGTGCGGAGCTCCCCTGTGCTCTCCCCTGAGCACAGGGACTCACTCAGGACCACCTACTGATGGACATCAGGTGGCTTCCTGTTTCCTTTCTCAGCTGACCTCTCCGACATGTGCCAGTGGCCTGGGCGACCCCGTCCCTGTAGGTGCCCCAGGACGGGCATCGTACTTCCCCGTCGGCCACAGTTGTTGGGCTGCCCCCTCCTGAGCCTGGTGTTCCCTTCCTGTGGCCTTGGGAGGGGGGTGACCATGGCAGCCGGACTGGGACCACCACTCCTCCCGGCCCCTCATGCCTCATCTCCCTTTACCCGCAGCCCAGGCGGCCTTCAGAAAGACGCTGGAGAAGGAGGCGAGGGGAGTGGACCCAGACATCGCGGTCCCCAAGTTCAAGCAGAAGAAGTGGGAGTCCGACGGCGCCTACATCCAGCGCATGGAGCAGGAGGCCCAGCACGTGCTGTTCCTCAGCAAAAACCAGGCGGACCAGCAGCCTGAGGTGCAGGTGGCTCCCAAGAAGAAGTCCGAGGGGAAGAAAGCGTGAGTGGGGGCTGGAGGGGCTTGGGGTCCCATGATGGTTTTCTGTTGAGAACCCTGGTCACCTCCGGGTCAGGGAGGCTATGGCCCAGGAGCTCTGAGGGCCCAGCGTTGTCTCTGTGTTTCTCTGGAAAGTCATCAGGGGGACCACGAGCCAGCACAGGTCAGGCCCGCTGTCCGGCCAGGCTGGTTGCTGTCGGGAGCTGGAGAAAGGATGAGGCTCAGTGTCCTCCCAGGAGGGCTTGCTGGCTGCCAAGGACCATGCCTACCCCGTGGGAATCGGCTGTGGATGGGGGTCTGGGTGAGGCTGACACGCAGCCCTGGGGTTCCCTCTGGTCAGCAGGTGCCACCGTCTGTCCCTGGACCAGGACTGGGGTTCTGTTCCCAATGTCACCTTTCCTGTCCAGAGGACATTTGAGAGCCCTTAGCAGTGACCCTTATTAGCCTAGAATCGTTTGTACAGAGGAGGTGCCGGCGTCTCCGTCTTTCAGGTTGGCTGGCGGGGTGCAGGGCCCTCTCTGGTGGACAGCTGTGGGTGGTGAAGGATTGGGGACTCGGGCAGCTGCTGGGCTGTGCCTCAGGCCCCCTCGAGGGCAGGGTGGCCTCACCGCCTCCCGACTCTGGGCGATGAGTCGGGAACCTGTCGCTTTGTGCTTCTTCCCCAGGTTCCAGAAGCGGCGGCGGGATCGAGTCCGGGAGAAGAGACAGGAGAAGGCAGCGGAGAGGCTGGAGCGGGAGCTGCTCCGAGGTGGCTCGTCCTGAGGGGACTGTCAGCCGGGGTGGGGGTGGGGGTGGGGCCGGCGGCACCAGTGTGCCCCCCAGGTCGGTGGGTGGGCACCCAGCAGCTCAGGTGGCAGCAGGCCTCAGGCGTGCTCCTCTGCCCCCTAGACACCGTGAAGTTCGGTGAGGTCGCCCTGCAGCCCCCTGAGCTGACCGCCAAGCCCAGGAAGAGCGTGAGCACCGGCCAGGTGAGGAGGGCGGGGGGCGTCCCTGGCTGCCACGGGGAGTGCGGTTCCCACGGGGCCTAACAGCTCCAGGCCAGACTCTGTCACCTCCTTCCTGACCCTGTGCCCGCTCCTGTCTGGTCCTCAGCCTGGCAGGAAATCCCTGATGCTGGCGATGCTTTTGCGCCCTGGCGGTGTGTCCCAGCCCCCACCCACCTCCATGGCCCGACAGCGGATTGTGGCAGAGGAGAGAGAGCGGGCTGTGCAGGCCTACAGGGCGATAAAGAAGCGGCAGCAGCAGGGGCCTCAGTCAGCCCATCTCCCTCCCAGGAAGAAGCCAGAGACCTGCCTTTGAGAGACGAGGGTTCCTGCACAGGGTGGGGGGGAGGGGCAGGGGGTCCCCAAATCAGTCCTTTCCCTGGATGCCCCCCTGGGACACAGCCTGGTGCACCAGCTCCTGAGTTCGGGAAAGGGCTCCACCCTCTGCTCTCATTTTTCCTCCCTGAAGACCACTCTTTCCCATGAGATCATCCGCCAGGCCCGTGTTCCAGGGGACATGACCTGTGCCGAGTTCCCATAGAAGGGGCCAGTGCCTGGATGAGTCCCAGCCAGTCACACCCGACACCGTTCCCGAGCCTAGCGTCACCCTCAACTGTTCTGTACACACAGGTCCAGGCCGAGACAACCACGGGCCAACCCCATAACCATAATCCCAACCCCAGGTGCCAAGTGACTGTAGATGCTGTGGACTCAGGTCAACCAAATCCATCGCAGGCTCCCGGGGTTCGCCAGTGCAGGGGGGCAGGGGCAGGACCATGAGGGTTGGTCGGCATCTACACCGCCGGCTCCCGGTGCCAGTTTAGTCCCCACAGAGGCAGCTGGAGTCCGCCCAGGCCTTGGTTCTGATGTGGAGCCCAATGACAGCTCCGCCCCAAGGGGCATGGCAACAGGGAGTCTTTCTCACCGGAGCCACCAGGCAGCTGTCAGTCCTCCAGAGACCTGGTACCTTTCGACACTGACCTGGCCTGGGCTCCCGGCTCAGGTGCAAAGTGCCCTCTCCCTGCCTGTGGTAGGAGTGGTTTCTATCGGAGACCACTGTTCCCTCTGGTGGGGGTGGTACTTAGAGACCAACGTCTGGGTTCTAGGAATGCGGATGCTGAGATATCGTTTCTAGACCATTTTTGCAGACAGGCCTTAGGAATATACTTTTAAAAATGTATATATGTAACTTAAAAGTTCTGAGTTTATAGATATTTACTATTAAATTTTAATATTTTAAGTTTTACTTGTCTTTGTATCTTTTACACTGAAATGTTTCACAGGTACCTTATCCTCCAATAAACATAAAATAGCCCAATATGAACAGCACTAACGTAAATGGACAGAACGAGGTTTAAGATGTCAGTTTTTGTTCTCATCCAACTAGACAGGCCAATGGTGTTGGAATGTTGCCTTAAGAGGTTCTTTTCTCTGGTTGTGGCACAATTTGATATACAGTTAAGATCTTTTGTGTTTTCAGGCTTTAAGCTGTCATTTTTGCTTTGCTGTTTTAATTCATTTTTTGAGTACAGAGAACACGGTTTACATAATTCCCGATTTTACAGTGAAAGGGGGAGCCTCCTGCCCTGCAGGCAGGCCCTAGCGCTCACCTGGTGCTGCCCTGAGAGTCACACACTCTTAGCTGAAGAACTGACTTACGGCCCAGAGTCTTCTAACACTTCACGCTTTTCACCAGGCTTTGCTCAAGTCCTCTGAAACTGGGGGGTGTCCGAAAGCCCTTTGGGTCTCAAGTTGCCTGTGAAATCTACGAGGACCCCAATGAGGAGTGGAGATGGCCTGCATCCAGGCTGCTCAGTGGCGTCTGGGGAGGTGGTGCCCAGCAGTGGCACGGGCCGTGCACACCTGCAAGGCCTAAGGTGTCACCACACTCAGGCAGACAGCTCCTTACCAATCACAGGGGGCTGAACAGTGGCCCAAAAAAGGTACGTTCAAGCATGGCCCCCAGGACGTGCCAACGTGAACTTACTTGGAGAAAGGGTCTTCACCGATGCAACCATGAGCTCAGTGGCACCCGCGCTCCACCAGACCTCTCCCTGCCGCCCTCCCTGCCTGCATGCCGCTTGGGGCACTGAGGTCTGCAGGCCGGTGCTGCTCTCCTAGCCCTGGGCAGTCTTCATTCCAACGTCAGCTGTCAGGACTTCCACCCTGGGTGCCTCAGTTTACCCATCACTGCAGCTCGGCACTGAAGCCCGCCTTCTACGTTTACGCTGGGTCCTTATCGGCCTCCGGAGGCCAAGCAGGGCTGCCCTCCCCTCCCCTCCTCCCCACAGAGCGGTCCAGCCACGCCCCCACCCGATAGTCGTCAGCCGGCTCCGTGGGTGTCCTGGAGCCAGCGCAGCACCTGGGTCAAGCCCGTGCCCGTGCGGGCACTGATGTCTGCCACGGTGATGTTCTGCTTGGCACAAGCAATGATGTCTGGGAGCCTGATTAACGATTTCATCTCCTCTACGGTCATATAACAGGACAGGTCACTGGAGCGAAAGGGGCGCCTTGTCAAAGTGGGCCCCACAAGCCCGCCCCAACCCCCACCGCACCCCTCCCTAAGGGGCCACCCCCCGGCTACATTCCAAGGGACCCCTCCTCCGGGAACCCTCTGAGCTCCCTCTCGCTCGCGGGCCGTACGTTTTATTGAAGAGGATCAGGACCTGTGCCTCTGCCAGCGGTTCTGCAGAGAGCAGGCCCAGGAGCTGCGCGCAGGCTGCGGAGAGCTGGGTGGGGTTGGAGGCATCGATCATGAACTGGGAAGAAGGGAAAAGCTCAGGGCCACTGTGATGGAGGCAGCCCTGCCCAATCTCCTCCCCCGGGCACCACAGACCTGGCTTTGAGACGAGAAAAATGACTGAAACAGAGGCTGCGGGGAGGGCTGTGCAGAGCAAGAACACCCCCAGCTTCGACACGAGCTGCCGGCGGGACCACCAGGCTCAGGCCGAGTTCCCAGAGGGACACGGCAGCGTGGGCCCTGTCCCCTCCACTCGCACATCCCGACCTCCCCCCCCCCCCCCCAAGTCAGGTCGGGGACACACTTCCCTGAAAGAGTTCAAAGACTTGACCCACCAGGAGGGAGCGGCAGTTTCCATAGTAACTGGGCCAGATGGGGCCCATGCACCCGCCCAGCTCCCGGATGGTGATCCGTCTGGGGGCCACGATGTCGGTCAGGTTGGTGCCCACCTGCGGGGAAAAGCAGGATGCGGCGGCCGCACAGCTCTCCCACCGGCCCCGCAGAGCACCGCGCCCTCCTCACACCGCGACCCCAATTCACAGGCCCTTCCTCCTCGAGGCCTCGGGCCTGGAGCGGAACCACAGGAAGAGGGGCTTCCAGGGCTGGGCCCCCTCCCCCTCCCGCGGGCTGTGGCCGGAGGCGGCGCCCGCCGGGGGATGCGCTCCGCGGGCGGCCCGCGCCGTCCGGCCGCCTCCGCAGCGCTGTCCTCGCGGGCCCAGCGCCTCTCTGACACCCACTCGCTTCCCGGGGGTGAATTTAACTCGCCGCCCGGCTGGGGCCCAGCTTCCACTTCAGAAGCCACAGCGCTTGGCAGAACGCAAGGGGCACCGTTTCCACTGAACGTGCTGGCGGGCGACGCCTACCGTGGGCCGCGTCGACGGAGGATCGCCCAGGTCGCCCTTCCCATCCTGAGAGCTCAGCTGTGCGAGGCGGTCAAGGACCCAAGCGGGGCAGCGGGGGCAGCGGGGGCAGCGGGGACGGGACGCCGCCCGGGCCGCCCCGACCCCCCGGGCTCCCGCTCCAGCCCCCGACCGCCTCCGGAGAGTCCCGCGTCGCCCGCCCCGGCCACCCCCGGCGTCCCCCACCACCGCGCCCCCGCCAGGCGCCCCCGCCTCCCCGGTGCCCCTCGCCCGGCCGGAAGGATAGTCTGCAGTCGTTTCACCAACAGCGACTTGCCCGCGCCCGCGGCCCCCAACAGGAGACACATCCCCACCGCTCGCGCCGCTCGGCCTCCGTAGCTCCGCCCCGCGGGGACGCAAGGCCCGCCCCCGGCTCCGCTTTCGTTGGACAAGCCTCGCCTCCCGGGCTGCTCATTGGTCTTCCAGCAGTCGCGGCCCAATCGGCGCGCAGAGTCTAGGGAGAGCGGAGAGACCGCCCCCTCGCGGATGGAGGAGGGCGACGTGTGCGTGCGCGCGCCCGCGGGGAAGGCGGAAGCGGAAGTCGGGGACGCGCTGGCTCGCAGCAAAGGAGGCCTCGGCGTCGGGTCGGGTCCGGGTCGCCATGGGGCGCGGCAGCGGCACCTTCGAGCGTCTCCTAGGTAACGCGGCCCCTGCTCCTCCCCGCCGGCCCGCGGCCCCGAGCGGATCCGAGCGGAGCGGCCGGCCTCCGCGCGGCCCGGGCCCTGGGTGGGCGCGCCACGAGCGGGGGTTGGCCGTGCCAGGCGCGGGCGCTGGCCGGGCGGTGAGGGTCCGCGGAGGAGCCGGGCCCGGAGCCGGCAGGTCTCCGGGCGCCGACCGCGGGCGCCTGACCGAGCGATCTCGAGATTCTGAGTCACCAAGATGGGCGACTCGACCGCATAGCCCATCTCGGTGGACGTCCGCCCCGCAAAAAGCCGAAGTCGCGTGGGGTTGGGGCTTCTGACCCAAACACGAGCACCCCTACAAGAGGACGCCTTCCCGGGACCTGCAGGCTTCCCTGCGGCCCGGCCAGCCCCGCTGTCCCCACGGGCCCGGGCGCTTCGGGGAGGTGGCCCGTCTGTCGGGCTGTGGATCATCCTCCCTGAGCTCCGGGAAGTCACACCTGTCAGGAAGGAGGAATGTTCCCGGGAAAGCCCCCTCCCTCCCACGGAACGGCGTGTGCCGGCGGGACAGGCGCCCTGGGCCCCCCCTGGTCAGCCCGAGCCCACCCTCAGGCCCGGCGTCATTCCTGCTCTTGGGGGGAGCAGGCGAGGGACCCCGTTAGGGGGTGGCTCAGCCTCTCGAGGACCAACCCAGGAGTTCCCAGCAGATCAGCGCGAAGGGGCTAGGCCTTGCTGGGTGGTTGGCGTCTCCGGGCAGGAGGGTGCCAGCAGGGCTGGAGCCTCGCACGTGATGGGGAGGGAGGGATTCTGGAGAATCCTCGAGGTCAGTCCCCGAAGCAGAGGACGGAGTCCAGGTGCTGCTCCGGAGTCTGGCCCCCGCGGGAATCTCACCAGCGAGGCCCAACCTCCCAAAACCAGGGCTCGGGTCCCCGTCGGCAGTCAGCCGGCCCGGGGTCGGGTCCTGGCTGTGTCCCCAGCAAGCTGTGTGACCCCTGGCAGCGCCCTCCCCGCTCCGCCGCGGTTTGTCTGGTTTACCCGTAAGGGGGCGGAAGTGGGACCCAGCCCCTGAGGCTGTGCAAGAAGCGGGTTCGTGGAGAGCGCTGGCAGGGGCTGGTCACAGGCACACAACAGGGTTTCTCTGTTGTTGTATTTTTTTAAAGTATTTTTATTGTCTTCAGAGAGGAAGGGAAAGGGGAGAGAGAGAAACATCCGTGATGAGAGAAAAATCATTGAGCCCACAACCCGGGCATGTGCCCCGACCTCCTGGTTCATAGGTCGACGCTGAACCAGGGACCATGCGGGCCGGGGTCTCTGTTGTTATTTTCCAAGCCGTTTGCCTCGTTGGGCCAGGCCAGCGCTCCCACGGCTCTCACTGCGCCCGGAGGATTTCCACGGGGTTTTCCATTGTGTCCAAGCGTTTGAAACGGGGTGGAGGCAGCTCCTCCCTGTGGCTGAGATGGGGGCCCCGAGGGACCCCCAGCAGGATGAGCCCCCATGATGGTGCGTTTCCGTCTTAGACAAAGCGACCAGCCAGCTTCTGCTGGAGACCGACTGGGAGTCCATCCTGCAGATCTGTGACCTGATCCGCCAGGGCGACACGCAGTAAGTGAGAGGCGCTTGTGCGCACTGCCCTCGGGGCCCCGCACCAGGGCGGAGCCGCAGCCGGAGGCCTCCCTGTACAGCGTGGGGGTCTCGAGGGCCAGGCGGACTGGGCTTCTCTGTCTAGTTGCTGAGACAGTTTCTTTCTCCCATCTCTTTGCGCTTCTACCAACGCCCTTTCCTTTCAGGGCAAAATATGCTGTGAGTTCCATCAAGAAGAAAGTCAGCGACAAGAACCCCCACGTGGCCCTGTATGCCCTAGAGGTGACTGGACGCCTGCACCCCACCCTCGCAGGGCCCGTCCCAAGCGGTCAGGGTGGCAGAGGAGGGGCCCACGGCCTCCCCACCGCCCGGGCAGCGCCCGCACAGTGCAGGCGTCGGGCGGGAGGCAGATGGAGCAGCCTGCAGAGCCGGGGCGGCCGGGCCTCACCTGCCCCACCTGACACTGACGTCGGGCAGGGAGGGTGGCGCTAGCCTCCGGTGGAGAGGGCACGTGGAGTTAGGTGGAGCCTGGGTAGCGCAGGCTCCCAGGGGCTCTCCTGACGCGCTGGGAGCCTGAGAGCCTGTGGGGGGCAGCGTTCTGCGGGGCGGTGGGCCGGTGGGAGGGGTCCCTGCACTGGCCAGCAGCCCGTCCCTTCCCCTCCTTGGGGTCTGCAGGTCATGGAGTCCGTGGTGAAGAACTGTGGCCAGACTGTCCACGACGAGGTGGCCAACAAGCAGACCATGGAGGAGCTGAAGGAGCTGCTGAAGGTGGGCGCTCCTCAGGGCCCGCGGGGGAGGGGTGTCGCCTGCTGCCAGGCCTGGGCCATTCCGGGTGTTTGCTGGCACCTGTGGCAGGAGCAGCAGAGGCCGCGAGGCAAGTGTGGGTGGTCCCTGCACCAGGCCAGCCTCAGCCCGTGGTGCCTGGGCGCCGAGGCTCCTCTGCCTCCAGGTGGACGCGGCGTCTGGGGGCGGGGCCAGGCTCACCTGCCCACCTGACACTGACACACGGGACACTCACTGAGGAGAGGAAGGTGGAGGGAGGAGCTGCGTGTGTGTGTGTGTGTGTGTGTGTGTGTGAGAGAGAGAGAGAGAGAGAGAGAGAGAGAGAGAGAGAGCGAGAGAGCGCAGAGGCCCAGGGAGCCCTCAGGGCAGGGCCGGAGCCCAGCCGTGAAGGCAGGACACTCACTGAGAGGAGGAAGGAGCTGCGTGTGTGTGAGCAGAGGGGGGAGGGGGGAGGGGAGGGGAGAGGAGGGATGAGGGCAGCTGGGCGCCCGCACGCCAAGCAGGGTGCAGTGGTCTGATGTGTGCTGGAGGGAGAGGGGCGATGCCCTCCTTGGGCAGAGGAGGGAAAGTCCTGCTGAGCCCGGGCCGGCTCTGCCCCTGCAGGGATTGTGACCTGGGCAGTGACCCCGAGGCTGTGTGATGCAGAGCGGGGTGGGGCAGACATTCTTGGGGTGCAAGGGCCCCTCGGAGTTGCGGCTGCCTGGGTGCTCTGAGGAGCGCAGCCCCGGCTCCGGCGGTCTCCTGGTCTTGCCGGTGCCTTGGGCCCACGGGCCAGAGCCCATCTGGGCCTGAGCTGACGGCTGGCTCCTCAGAGGCCATTGGGAAGAGGGGGAGGAGTTCCGCAGATCATGGCCAACGGCCGTTAGTCCCCCTTGGCGATAAGAGGCCTCCACCGGTGGCACACAGATCCCAGTAAAGGCCCAGCAGCCGGCGCTGGGCTGTGGCTGCCCCTCCGAAGCCGCCTGCTCTGCCCGCATCCTCCTGGGCCACCTGGGTGGGTGGCCCCGAGGCGCTAGAAGTGTAGCTGGTGCTCCAGGTGGTGGAGAGGGTGCTGGGTGTGGGCCTGGCTGTGACTGGAAGGAGGGCCCAGCGTCAGGCAGGTTACAGGCGAGGGGTTCCCAGTCCGGTCTTGTTACAGGACCTGGGGTTACCGTGCAGGCCCCATGGGCAGACAGATGCCAGGGGTTCTCCTCAGGGTCAGGGTTCCATGGAGGGGGCTGGGCCTGGGGAGAGGGTGGCCCCTGCGCCCCACAGGGACCTGCCCACCTCTGCCCGAGCAGTGGGTCCTCCAGCCACGTGGTCACGCTGACATCCCTTTGCACCTGCGTCTCCGTGTCCCTCCTCACGTCTTCCTCCCTCCTCTGCAGAGGCAGGTGGAAGTCAACGTCCGAAACAAGATCCTGTACCTGATCCAGGCCTGGGCACACGCCTTCCGGAACGAGCCCAAGTACAAGGTGGTCCAGGACACCTACCAGATCATGAAGGTGGAGGGTGAGTCAGCGGGACAGTGTCCGCATTGGGTGGCCCGGGCGGTGCTCACTCTGGGCGGGCGAGGACGGCACCCACCAGCCAACCAGCAGTGGCACACGGAGCGGGCACCCCCAAGGAGCGTGGGTCAGCCCAGCTCCAGGCAGCCAGCCCCGGCCTTTCCAGACCTCAACCCCACTGGGGCCGGGTGGGGCCAAGCAGCACACATCGAGCTGGGGAACAGAGCAGGGGCGGCCCAGTGGTGCTCTCGGAGGTCTCTCTCCATAGAGACCGAGGTGCTGAGCCTGGTCGCCTGGTCGCGGTCCTCAGGGGACAGGGGAGCCTGGCGCCTCGTGCACCTGGCGGCCCGCGGTGACTGCAGCCTTCTCTCTCCAGGACACGTCTTCCCGGAGTTCAAGGAGAGCGATGCCATGTTCGCTGCGGAGAGAGTGAGGCTCTGGTGCCGGGCGAGGGGGCTGCTCTGGGGCGGAGGGAGCCGGGGACAGGCCTGCTGGGACCTGGGCCGCAGGGAGCTGCTGTCTGCGTGGAAAGTGCGGCGCCCAGCGTGGCCCAGCGGAGTGAGCGGGCTGTGGCTGGCGGGCTCGCGGTTACGTGGCACCGGCCTGTCCTCGGGAGAGGACTCCTCCCGCCCGGCCTCCGGGAGCGGAAGCAGGGAGGGCGGGGCGGGGCCTGACTCCGTGGGGGCGGGGCATGAGGGCAGGGGCGGGGCCTGACTGCGGGGCCGGGGCATGAGGGACGGGGCGGGGCCTGGCTCTATGGGGGGCGGGGCATGAGGGATGGGGCGGGGCCTGACTCTGCCGCCCGCAGGCCCCCGACTGGGTGGACGCGGAGGAGTGCCACCGCTGCAGGGTGCAGTTCGGGGTGGTGACCCGCAAGGTGAGTGCCGCGTCGGGAGGGCCTGCCTCCACCGCCCTTGGCCAGCCCCGGGGAGGCCAGCCTGGCAGCTTTCGGTGGGCGCTGTGGGTGGAGTGGCGAGTGGGGTCAGTGGCCCGTCCTGCAGCCGCCACCGCCCTGTGTCGCAGCACCACTGCCGGGCCTGCGGCCAGATCTTCTGCGGAAAGTGCTCCTCCCGGTACTCCACCATCCCCAAGTTCGGCATCGAGAAGGAGGTGCGTGTGTGCGAGCCCTGCTACGAACAGCTCAACAAGTGAGTCCCTGGCGCCGGCCGGCTCCCGGCTCCCCGCTCCCCGCTCCCTGCAGCCCGGCTTCTGTCCCCCGAAGCGAGGCCTGGCAGAGGCCAGCCCTGCCCCCTGTCCAGCCTCAGTTGCCCCAGACTCAGGGCGGAGCCAGGTGGGCACCCAGAGCCTGGGGCTTGTTGGAGTTTGTTGCCTCTTAACTTTTTAGTCTGGAAGTCAAACTTCCAGGAAAGACACGGGCGTGACAAGGTGAGGGCTGCCCTCTGCCTGGTCCCTTGGTGTTGACATTGACGGTGGCTCCTCCTGCATGTGTGTTCACACACGTGTGTGGTCCTGGACCTTCGTGCGTGCCCAGAAGAGGAACCCTCTGTTCCACAGCCCACGCATGGCGCTGCCGTGTCCTCTGCACCTTGTTCTGGTCCACGAGTCCCAGTGATGTCAGGGCCTGTTCGTCTCAGCCCCCGGGGTCCCCTCCTCTGTCTTTCCGGATGGGTCCAGGCCTTTGCTGTGTGGCCCTCGGTTTGGGCTTGAGGTCCCTCGTGGTTTGGGTCAGGCCTGTGCTCCTGGTGGGACCAGGAGGGAGGCCGTGTCCCCGGTGTGTAAGCGCAGAGGCCCGTGCTGTCCGTCTGTCTGTCCCAGGCAGTGTCCCAGCCTCACTTACTGGAGACGGGCTGTGGTCAGGCCAGTGACTCACCAGGGTCCCCCGCCTGGAAGCACCCGCTAGTCCAGGGGTGGGCAAACTTTTTGACTCGAGGGCCACAATGGGTTCTTAAACTGGATCGGAGGCCGGAACAAAAGCATGGATGGAGTGTTTGTGTGAACTAATGTAAATTCAAAGTAAACATCATTACATAAAAGGGTACGGTCTTTTTTTTTTTTTTTTTAGTTTTATTCATTTCAAACAGCTGGATCCGGCCCGCGGGCCGTAGTTTGCCCACGGCTGAGCTAGTCTGAGGGTCAGTTTTTCTCTGGGGTGCGGGTGTGACCACGGTGATCACGGTGACGCTAGGGAATCCTTGGGGATCGG